TTTAGTTTTTACAGTAACATGAATAAAGCCAAACCTGCTTCTCTTTTAGCAGCAAATTAAAGTAACCAGTCCTTATTTCTGCATTTCTTTGGTTGATGGAAACAAAAAAAAACTATTATATTTAAGGACTTTATTTCTTCATCCAGTATAACAGAATTGCCCTCCAAGTCACACAACTCCAAGTCTAAACAAACAGACAGGTCCTCTATCTTCAAAGGGTTGCTTCTTGGTTCTCAGCTGGTTCTAGTCAATTCTGAACCACCCCACTCTCCCCGCAAAAGAAAGTAAAAGTCAAACCAAACTTCCTCAAGCTGCATGCTTTTCACAAAATCCAGAAAGCATTTAAGAATTGAACTAGGGGCTGGAAGAAGTGAAAGGGAAGCATCTAAAAATGAAAGGTGAGTAACCAGACAGCAAAAGAAAAAGAGAAAGCCATCCAAATTTGAAAGCTGTTGATAAAAATTGAGATTCTTGCTGTCTTTTGTCCCTTCTCAAGTTACTGCTCTTTCTGGAATTTCTGGGTCTTCCAAGAGAATTCTTAAGGTACCAGAGATTTGCTAGGGAACCAAAAGCGCTTGAGAATCTGCCTGAAGGCTTGTATAACTTTCCCATTTAAAAAAAAAAAAAAAAAAAAGCTAGCAGATTATTCCTTTTGTGGGGATCATACCAAGTGAGTTAGGCTGGTTGGAAATCAAGAGAAGGGCTGATGTCTCTTTCTTGGAATATGTGAAATAAATTTAGCAATTTAACTAAATACAAATATATGCATTGTGTAATCCACTCAGAATTAAGCAGACAAAAGGTATGCTTGCTTTGGAATGATTTTAGGCATTGTACAACCTTGAATCACTTGAGCATGTAATAACTAATAAATAATGCAGATCCATGTGATTATTAAAATGACTGTAGCTGAGAGCTCTAATTTTCCTGTCTTGAAACTGTATAAGAACTCATGTGATTAAGTTCACAGTTTATTGTTTGTCTGTTTAGTATTTTAGAAATATACCAGCACTACTAATTAACTAATGTCTTTTATTTATTATGATAAAGTAACAATTTCACTTGCATTAAGTCTAAAGTGAGAAGGTTAATTACCAGGAGGAGAATGAGCAACCTTGACAGGCGGTTTGTGCAGGAAAGCACAGTGCCGTGCTGTTTACAGCTTTTCTAGAGCAGCTGTGCGACCAGGGTAGACAGTGTTGAAACTCCATGCCAAATACAGTAAAAACAAATGTAAATAAAAGAAAACACATCATCAATAAAACTGTTACTATGCGTGACCGTATTCTATTCGGTGATCCATCAGTCTCTAAAGAGCAAGCCCAGTCAGATGAGAAATCCCACATAAATTTTATGGTGGAAGTGATTGGGCACAGTGGGGGTCAATGGCTGACATGGCCATAAACTTTCTTTCCTGAAACTCTGAGAATGCCCTCTCACCAACCTGAGGCTCTAGTACAGTGAGCTGTTGCCTAGGAAATCTGCCATCTTTCGGAAAGCCAGAATCCACTCTGGGCACTGTAGTCCACGCCCTGCCTTGGAGCTTGTAACTGAAAGGAACAGTGGGAGTGTGCACTGCATTCTCTGCTGAAGCACTCCAGGGATTTCCAGGACTACCAGTAAAGTCATTCTGAGAGATGCAGCAATACTGTGGAACATCAAGTTTCTTCACCAACATACCAAAATCAAAATTATAACTGATTAGAAAAAGAAAAAAATGCAAGTGTGTATAGGAGTGGGTTGAGTTGTCGCTAACATCACTAAGAAATGATTAAGAAAGAGTAATGCAAAATCCTAATTCCCATTCAAATGTGACCGAGTTGACCAGGCAAATGAGTCAAATAATGACTTCCAGTTAGTCAAATTAGTGAACATAGCCAAGGATGAAGTTGGTCTCTGATTATTTTTATCCTTTGTCTTAAAGGCAAAGATGCCCATCTGCATGAAACACAAGCAGTCCATTGGAGGCCTCCACCCCCAAAGCAGTACAGTCAACCCTCAAACAATGTGGGGGTCTGGGGACCGCAACCTCTCTCCCCACCCACGCAGTCAAAAATGCACATGTAACTTTCAACTCCCCCAAGACTTCTCTACCAATAGCCTATTGTTGAGGAGAAGCCTTACGAATAACAAAACAGTTGAGTGACACATATTTTGTATGTTTTATGTGTTATATACTGTATTCTTAAAGTGAGCTGGAGAAAAAAGTGTTATTAAGAAAATCATAAAGAAGAGAAATACATATACTAGTCAATAAGTGGAAGGAGAGTATCATAAAGGTCTTCATCCTCTTCTTCATATTGCATAGGCTGAGGAGGAGGAGGAGGAAGGGTTACTCTCACTGTCTCAGATGTGGCAGAGAAGAAAGAAAATTTGCACATAAGTGGACTTGCTTGGTTCAAACCCTTGTTAATCAAGGGTCACTTGTATATTCTGGCTCAGATTCATTACCAAGATATTTCTTAAACTTATGAATGAATGATTTAAAACTAGCATATCAACAGCCAATCTCCTTTTCCTATGGATCTTTTGCCCTTTGCAAAAGAGTTGTCCCACTCATTGGAAAAGTGCTTTGATTGAACCATATAAAATTGCCAATATTTGACCTGCTTTGCCTACAAAATGCTAATTTCATATGGTTCAACCAAACTGTGTGAGAATGAGAGACAATAGGGTTTCGACTATAATTTTATGTGTAATTCCAGATGGAATTAGAGGTACCTTACAAAGTCCTAGGAGAAAATGCTCAAAGGAATAATCGATTATATTTGTTTACAAGGTACGCCACTTAAGAGTTAGTCCTAGATAGGCATGTTATATTCATCAAGGAACATTTTAAATTGCCAGGAAATCCCAATAGCCATTCATATTTCTTTGTCATAATAAAAAATGTTACGTGAATATTTGTAATAATAGGATATCTGCTGGAACAGAGTTTTTGTCAAGCATAGACATTCTCATGTTTATTTGTTAAATAGAGATTGACCTGCATTTTCTTATTCAAAACATAATTAATTGTCATTGTCTCTTTTTCTTCCCTCCTTCTCCTCCTCCTCCTCCTCCCCCTCCTCCTCCTCCTCCTCCTTCTTCTTCTTCCTTTTTCTTCTTCTTTTTCTTTCTTCTTCTTTCTTTTGGAGACAGAGTCTCACTGTGTCACCCAGGCTGGAGTGCAGTGGCACAATCTTGGCTCACTATAACCTCCACCCCCCGCCCCGACTCAACCAATATTTTCACCTCAGCCTCCCGAGTATCTGGGACCACAGGTGCATGCCAACACACCTGGCTAATTTCTGTCTATTTTTTCTAGTGACAGGGTTTTGCCGTGTTGCCCAGGCTGGTCTCAAACTCCTGGGCTCAAGTGATCTGCCCACCTCAGCCTCCCAAAAGGTCTGGGATTATAGGCATGAGCTGCCGTGCCCAGCCATAATTATTATTTTCAAGGAAGAATAGAAACAGAAAAATTCATCTCTTTTACTGATGATTAAATATGAAAATAGTAGCAAGATAAGGTGAAAAATTCACATCATGAGTTTAACCTCTAAATATTTATTACACTAAGTTACCCTTCCACTTAATTGTTGAATTCATGTGAGTCACCCCATAGTACAAATCTCTGTCTGAAACGCAACCATTTCCTTATCTCCAAAACAACTTGAAATGTCTTAGCACAGAGTAGGCACGTAAAAAAACGCAATCGTGCAAAGGAAGATCAGTAAAACATCACCAATTGTCCTCAACAGGAATTGTATGGGGTTTTCTTGACAATTTAAAGCCTCTTTAAATATAGATGGAAATTGAATATCACAGGCAAGCATTAGGAGTGAAGATGGAAATGTTTCATTAAAAACCTAGGGTTACAAAAAAAGATTGAAAAAAATTTCAAGATGAGTTATGCCATATTTTTTTGGCCTACATAATTGAACAAGAGTTTTTCTAGTGGTGACGAAAGTAAAAGATGTAATACACACTAATCTCACCAAGAAAATAAGCAGCAAGGGAGAAAAGAGGTGCTAGACATGTAGGGTGTCAAACAGAGAGAGAACACTGAGGAGACAAGTTTCATGGATTCTAAATTAAACTATTGATGGAACAGGCTGCTGAACTTTTTTTCTAATTACCAAGTGTTAGTTTGAGTTGGTGAAGAAAGGAAAAGACTGTATTTCCTGGTTCTATTTTCTAGGATTTTCAAAGGCGACTTCTCTACTTTTATTTGGAACCATTTCCCAGTGTGGAAAACCTTTCCTTACAAAAAAAAAGTCTGCAAATCTGTACAAATGACCATTGCTTGGAGAAAGCGTGTGGGGAGCCCCCCCATAACCTCACCAACCACAGAGGAGGAACACGGGGAGCAGCAGAAGGAAGAGGTAACTTCAACCCCACTTGGCAATCTACGTGTACACAGGAGATTAGACTTTGCCTTCTCATTTCATACTTAGCCAAACAGCTTGTCATTTGTATCCAGCACCAGCCTGTAATGTAGTAGATGAGAAGAAGTGGAGATGAAGTTCTTGTTCCTGGATGGGAGACAACTGAGAACAACGACCTGTTACATTTCAGCACGGTCAGAGTTGTGCCTAATTAACGAAGCCCACCAGCAGCAATCATTTCACATTTTATTAACAGCTTGCTGGCAAAGACATTTGAAAGTGAAATTTTATTCTCATGGACATGAGGCCAGAAGAAAAGAACAGTGAGTAGAAAATAAAATAGAAAGACTCACGATGCTACAGAGAAAACAAAAATACCATTCTAAAGAAAGAGTCTGAATCAAACGACAGTATTTTAAAGTCTGAAGCATCCCTGTTTGACAATTGTATGTTTACAATAAGCCCAAACATAATTGCTCTGATGGGCTGTCAGGGAAAAGATTAATTTGGCAAAGATTAGTATTGACTTGCTGTTTATTAAGGCTTTTAAACAGCTGTATCTGGCAGCATTCCTGTGAGTGGCTGTCATATCTGAAAATCAGCCTCACACCCTGGTGCTCGCCAGCTGTTCTGAAACAATCTTCTACCACTCTGAATGTCTTTCTCCAGGCCAAACAGCAAAAGCAAACTATTGCCAAATGAGCTTTTTTTTCTCCTCCTGTCACTTATTTTTGGTGGGGGTAGGGAGCTTCTAAATGCTGAAATGTCAGCTCAGGGCTGATGGCTTAGCTGATAAGAGGTGCCGGAAGCCAGTAGGTGGTTTTGGGTGCTAGATGAATACATTCCCCACGCGGAGAGAGCGTAGCGGTAGCACTGTTAGTCACCTCACACAGACAAAAAAACCACAGCTTGCAACTGTTGTAGGCAAAATGTTTTAAAGACGGTTTAGAGAGTGATGATCAAAGGTTTAAAGCCATCAGAATTCCAAAATTAATGTTTTGTTTCTTCAGGCCTGGCACAAGCCGTATCCGACATATAGCTGGGAAGAGACCCCACAGTGGGATGCTAAGGGCAAGTTTCAGTAGTGGCCTTTCATCCTTAGCATTGGAACTGGGATTTCTCCCAAGAACTCTGAAAGAGGACAAGCCATTTACTTGGTAAACCATGCGCCTTGCTTTTTGATTCAGTGGAAACCTGTAGAATAAAACAGATTTGGATGTTTTGAAGTCTGTTAAGGCAGATTGAGTTTTGTACTGGAATAAGACCTGGAAGTTTCAAATCCAAATATAGTCAGAAAAGCAGTGGAAAGAATAACATTCCAGTGGAATTAAACATCGGACTACAAAGGGCCCAGTGTTGTGGTGAAAGTCACATTAGCCTTTCCAATATGACTGCTTTTCGGAAGATTAATCTCTGCATTTCTGCATTGCATCAGGCTGGACTAAGTTGTTAGAGCAGATGCAAAAGGACGTTGTCATCTGTTAACCCTTTCTCCGCTGACACTTTCCATTACACTCTTAGGTATGGGCTTGGGGGAAGGAGAGAGGTGGCTTAGAATGCAAGCTGTCCACAAGGACATTCCAAGCAGGTGTTTACCAACGTTTAACTTTTAAATAACTTCATTTTGAAGTCTCTGCTGTTGATGCACTCTGATGCTTGACATTTGAATCAGGATCAAATCCAGCCAGATTCCAAGGAACAGACAAATGAGCCATCCACTCATCCTTGAATGTGTCACTTTCCACCGTCAGCATCCAAAAGCTGTCTCTCCAGTCCTTTCCACATATCACAATGGGGGGGCAGTGGTGGGATGAGAAAGAGCACTAATTCAACACTTAAAATTAGAGAAACAAAGTGACTATAAACATTAAGAAGACAAGAAAGGTGTGTGTTTGCCTCAGCCCCACTGAGCCTGACTCTGAAGCACAGGCTATGGACAAAGAAGCATCAGTACAGAATTTACTTAAAAATTCATCTCTGATCATAAGCCATTGAGTATTCTAAGTTCTAAAATAGCTCCAGGCTTATGGGCACTGCGGTCATTTTCTAGGCCAAGAACTCTCTCTTCAGGGGCCTGCTCACACTGAGAAATTAGGCCAAGTGCCGGACTGTGCAGAAATACACCCTCTTACTTGGTCCAAAGGTACCTCAGACCTTACAGCAAAACAAGAAGTCTATCACTGGATTTAAAGTACATTGTTGCTAATCAAAGGGTTAAGATACAGCTTTAACCTTTTATCCCCGAAAAACTTAATGCTGCTTTAAATAGAATCAATGAAAGGCCAGGGTAGAGGCAGGGAAAAAATCACTTACATGTATTCCCATCATGCTTTGTGGGGCAGCATGTGGCAAAGTTTCTTCATAGCTCCTTTATAATTTTGGTTGCCTCCCATTGGCCTGTAATTCTTTGATTATTCAGATGAGATAACTAAGTGTGGGAGATGAAGGGGTATACTAGTTCCAAGACTGAATCTGATGAAGCCAATAATTTAAGTGATTAGTCCTTGACAAACTGTTGGGACCCTGTTATGATTACCAAAAAAAAAAACCAGTGAAGCTAACCCCATTGCTTGTGGTCCATGGGTAAAGTCCCTCCAGAAACCTAACATCTTGGTATAATGCACAGGCGTGTAGAAATTATCCTGTATAAAAGTAGCCTGTACTTTTATCCTACTAGATTTGCCTTTGCAAGGACTATTGTTTCTCCAGCCTGAGGAAAATCCTTAGAACTCATCTCTCTATAAACTGGAACCCATTCTGGGGTATTTCATATTCTACATTGTTTTTGTTTTTTTATCAAGCTAGACCCACAGAAACCTAAATCTGGTCTTAGCAAGTGTTTCATGGAAGAACAAAAGAAAGAACAATGTGTCTAAATCAAACTGCAATTTCCGGAATACTATTACAAAATACACATACCTACAAAGCCATTCTAGCTGTTGAGCTGGGTCATTTTTAACACCTGGTTTCATGATGTGGTTTCAGGAGACCAACATGACAGAGTGACAGTCCTCTATAGCACTAAGTCTCTGAGAATTTAGGTCTCCCTCTCTCTTTCTCTCCTCCATTCTTTCCTTCCAGGAGGATCTGCTACTTTATACAACCTATTGGTTTACCAAAATGATTCTGGACTTGCATTTTCAGAACGTTCACCTTCAAATTCTGGACAGCTGGAGGAGCCAGATTGCCTGCAGCCAGAGCAAGGTGGCCTGCAGCTTCACTTTGCTGATCACTTTGTTAATTCCCAGAGAGACAGAAAGAGACCCAATTTTTTTCTCCTACCCTTCTCCTTTCTAACGTAGAGCGATCAGAAGTCTCTAAGGACTTTTCTGTATGACTTTCCATTTCACACCACAGATGGTTTACATAAAAACTATTAGTTTCATTTATTCAAACAGCTCATTTCACTAAAATTAGCCTATTTTTAGCATATTGCCTTAAGGTTTGTTTTCACATTTTTGAAGATGCAAAGGAGTCTTGCTGACGTCTCAGATTTTAATCCTCATTGTTTCTGCCACCCAAAGATGAGTCTTTTTAGAGGGAATTTACTTTTTTAAAAAATGGCATTAGAAACGCTTTACAAATGTGATTTGTGTATATTTTCATACAACCTTTGAGTGTTTGCATTTTTTCATGAGGTTAGTTTTTATCACTTCGATTTCAGCATAAGTCCTGTATATCCTCTGTCAAACATAATGATATCTCAGCTCTTTATCTTGGTTTTATCTTTATGTCATTACTTTGCAGAATGTTTTCATTTGGACAACATATCCTACTGAAAAAAAATCTCTTCACAGACTCCATGTTTAAAGAAAGAAACTACGAATAAACAAGTCAAAACCTTACCCACTTTTGGATGTTGTACACAGTCAATGGAAACTGCTAACTAGATCTTACCTGTGTTAACATAAGAAGAAAAAAATATACTAAGTTTTTAAAACTAAAATGACAGGTGGAAATATAATATTCTAGTGACCTACAATAAGAACTATACAGTGGTATGAAAACTTGACTGATTTCTGAAAACATAGGAGATAAAACTATCCAACTTTGCTTTGAATTACAATCTTCCCTCCCTCTTTCTTATCTCTATGAGAATATTTCTTACTGCTTTCCCCAGAGATATCACATGTGCTTGTGCCTGTGACCTCAATGATGAGAGAAAGGAAAAGATTCACACCCTAATTATTTTCTCTTCAGTTATTCAGTGGCCCTCAAGATCTCCCATTCCTTTACAGATTTTAAAGGCACTGGATATTGATGTTATACATTGTAAAATCAACCTAGAGTATGTCAGCATCCAAGCCTGACTTTTCTAATGACTAAATTTCCACTTGGCTCTTCAATTGTTTCTTTAACTTATCCAGATAGAGATATAACCATTTATCCCCAATGGAATGGACACAGACTCACTGTCACAGGCTGCCCACAGTGTACCCAACATGCATGAATCGGAAAGAGGCATAGAAGAGCCATAAACTATGCTGTATTTCTCAAACTTTAGTGCATTAAAAGTAGATTTCCAGGCTCCATTCCCAGACGATCTGATGTAGTCTATAGGTATGACCTAGCATCTCCATTTTTAGAGCTACCCCTGAAGATTTTGAGGTAGGTGTCCATAGAATAATTAATAAATGGATGCCAAATGGATCTTGCCATCAACTTTAAGTCTCAGAGACTCTTTGTTGCCAATGCCCAGGTTTAATACCAACTTGAAGGTTTAGCTTCTGATCATGAAAACATATCCAGCTACAAAAAGCTCTAGGTTATCTGACCAAAGCTGTTCAACAGTTTGTTTGACCTACAAAACAAGATCTCTAGAGACAGATAGGTCAGAATCATCTCAGGCCTCGACATTGCTATCTTTCTCATCACCCTAAATGTGTAGACATTCATTGTCATCATTGTTGCCTCATATAGTATTCTAGGACAGAAGAAGGAGGAAGAGCAAAGAGGAAAAATGAAAAGAAGCAGTACCTGTCAAGATCCACAGACTCTCCCAGATAATCACAACAGACTTCTACATATGTCTCATTGACCACAAATGTCTCATATGGTCATCTTTAGCTGCACATAGCCCTTTGACTAAAACTAAGGATCTATTGACAAAAACTGGGAGAATAGATATTTGCAATAATATTAGCAGTGTCTACCACACCAAATTCCAGTCATTCAACTAAGGTCTTTTCTACCATACCACCACTGACTTTGCTCTTGAAAATTATCTGCAATGATCACTAATTGCCAGTTTCATATAAGTTGTATTCTGTATCATCTTCCTGGATTTCTCTGCTGCTTTTGACTATACTGAAACCCTCCCCAAAATCTCTCACTGAAGTCTCACCTCTTCTAAATGTTAAACCATAGTTCTGCTGACCACAGACAGGCAACTCTTATTCTGTGCCTCATAAGCAATTGACATTAAAAGAGTTGCCTAAACCAAATGTATAACCTTCCAGCAAAGGCTTGTTTCTCTGCTCAAAGTCCCTTTCTTGAAGAATGGCATGCTGACCTACTTAGCCTTCCAAGTTAGGATCCTTCATATCCTCCACTCTTCCCTCCTTTCATCCCACACACAGATAGGACACTTGTGTTTAATGATGCTAAATCCTCATTAGTCATGAAATTTTCTGAATTACTTTTCATCTCTTCCTCCCAAACAACATTAGTTTCATTTCTCTACATTCTCCCCTAAAACAGTGACCTAAGTTGTTGGAGTTTACAGACAGATGTTAGTCTTTTCTTAATAACCCAGATTACATATAATAAGGTTTCATTTTTAAAACTCTTGTGGCTCCTCCATTGCTTATGGATTAAAGTTCAAACAACTGAGCCTGGTGTATACAACCATGCAGAATCTGGCATCAATTTACCTCACTTGCTACTGCTTCTCAATTTTCCTTCCAAGATTCTGAAATTTGGCAACCCAGTTCCTTGCCAGTTCCAAACACATTAGACTATTAGGCTCCACACCTTGCGATTATTTCCGCTGCTTCTTTTGAAGACTTCTCGTCTTCTCACTAAATTTAACATTCCGTTTTCAATATTTCCACAGTACTCCATTTCACACTTGGAGGAAAATTTTTTAAAGTATTATAAGTATTCTGCAAAGCAGAAACACATTATGTGTTTATTTCCATGGCTAGATTAAGAGATATTTAGATCCTATTCAACTTTGTGATCCTTCCACACCTATAAGTTCAGTGGCAGATAAAAGTCTGTAATAAATAAATGTTGAATAAATAAATAGTGCCTTTTATCTCTCTAGACAAAATCGCAAAAACAGAAGATTGTCCCCTAGACCAAGAGATACAGAAAATCATCATCCTATGGATTGCTTTCCCAAAAGTAATGAAGATACCAAGTTTCTTTTATGATCACAACTGCTTTCTAAAAGGAATGGTCTTATTAAAAGTTTTTACACTTTAGATTCGGGGGTACATGTGCAGATTTGTTACATGATTAAATTGTGTGTCACCAGGGTTTGGTGATTTCTTCACCTAGGTAGTGAGCCTAGTACCCAATAGGTAGTTTTCTGACCCACAACCTCCTCCTCCCACCCTCTTGACTCAAGTAGGCCCCAGTGTCAATTGTTCTCATCTTTGTGCCCATGTGTACTCAGTGTTTAGCTGTCACTTGTAAGTGAGAAGATTCGGTATTTGGGTTTCTTTCTTAAAATTATTTCAATTGTTTAGGGGAACAAATGATTTTTTGTTACATGAATGAATTGTATAGTGGTGAAGATTGAAATTTTAGTGCACCTGTCACCAGAGTAGTGTACATTATAACCAACATATGCTGTTTATTCCTCACCTCCTTTCCAGCCTTCCCCCTTCTCAGGTCTCCAGTGTTCATGATACCACTCTATATGCCTTTGTTTACCCATAGCTTACCTCCCACTTATAAGTGAGAACATACAGTATTTGAGTTTTCACTCCTGACTTACTTCACTTGAAATAAAGGCCTCCAGTACCATCCAAACTGCTGCAAAATATATTACTTCTTTCTTTTTCAGGGCTGAATAGTATTCCATGGTGTATATAGTCCTCGTTTTCTTTACTCACTCATTGGTTGATGGGCACTTAGGTTGGTTCCACATCTTTGGTATTGTAAGTTGAGCTGCAATAAACATACACATACAGGTGTCTTTTTAATATAATGACTCTTTTCCTTGGATAGATATCCAGTAGCAGACAGAATTGTAGATTTGCTTTCAGTTCTTTGAGAAATCTCCATACTATTTTCCATAGAGGTTGTACTAATATACATTCTCACCAGCAGCATGTAAATGTTTGCTTTTTTACCACGTCCATGCTAACATCTATTGTTTTTTGACTTTTTAGTAATGGCCACTCTGGCTGGGATAAGGTGACATCTCATTGTGATTTTAATTTGCGTTTCTCTGATGATTAGTAATGTTGAGCATTTTTTTATGTTTTTGGGCCATTTGCATATCTTTTTTTGAGAAATGTCTATTCACGTCATTTACCCACTTTTTAATGGTATTATTTGTTTTTATTTCTTGCTGACGTGTTTGAGTTACTTGTAGATTCTGGATGTTAATCTTTTGTCAGATGCATAATTTGCAGATATTTTCTTCATTCTGTGGATTGTCTGTTTACTCTGAAGATTATTTCTCTTGCTGTGCAGAAATTTTTTAGTTCAATGAGGTCCCATTTATTTCTTTTTGTTTGTGTTGCATTTGCTTTTGGGGTCCTAGTCATAAATCTTTTGCCTAGGCAATGTCCAGAAGAGTTTTCCTAGAGTTTCTTCTAGAACTGTTATGGTTTCAGGTCTTAGATTTAAGTCTTTAATTCACCTTGAGTTAATTTTTGTGTATGGTGAGATCAGTTTTATTCTCTAAATGTGGTTGTCCAGTTTTCCCAGCACCATTGATTGAAAAGGATGTCCTTTCCCATGTTAGTTTTTGTCTGCTTTGTTGAAGATCAGTTGATTCTAAGTATTTGGATTTATTTCTGGGTCCTCTATTCTGTTCCATTGGTCTGTGTATCCACTTTTATACCAGTACCATGCTGTTTTGGCTACTATAGCCTTGTAGTATAATTTGAAGTTGGGTAATGTGAGGCCTTCAGGTTTTTTCTTTTTGCTTAGGATTGCTTTGACTATTTGGGCTGTTTTTTTGGTTCCATATGAATTTTAGAATTTTTTTTTGTAATTCTGTGAAAACTGATGTTGATATTTTGATAAGAATTAGATTGAATTGTTAGATTGCTTTGGGCGGTATGGCCATTTTCAAGATATTGATTCTTCCTATCCATGAGCATGGGATGTGTTTCCATTTGTTTGTGTCATCCATATGCATGTAATTTTTGTGGCTATCACAGGAAAAAGCTAAATTCCACATCTGGGTCAACATCATTGGAAAGAGTGACAACTTGCATCAAGTGAGAAGAAATTTAAAACCTACCAAAATTCAGCCGATGTACAAGACTGAAATATGAAAAGCACCATTCCCTCACTCACTGCTCAAAAACCCACAGGAAACATGGAAAGCACTTTGGATTTCCACAGGACATGGGAAGGGGGCTGGGAGCAGATCAGTACTAGGACTTGAGGAGTAAGATTTCAGATGATACACACAGTATGCTATCAACATTATTGCACTTACTAATAAAGACCTCACCAGAATCTTTGGCCAATCTAAATACAAACATCTAAATACAGTTTTGATCACCAGAGCTCCCTTCTTTTTCTGTTTACTCCAATAATATTCCAATTTTTTCTTGTTATATATTGTGACTGGGCTGAAGAATAAAATGACAGGAAATTTTCCTAGTACTTTTCTGTCCCAAGAAACGTTGTAGGGTGACTCCAGCAGTCCTTGCTGTGTCTTTCACAGTCTCCCACGTGGGACAAAGGCTTATCTTCACAATAACGTAAGAGAAGGGTGCCAAAGAGAAACACATGCCAAAACGTACGGTGACCTCTGACAACCACTTGGAACTTTTTACAGCATGATTTCTTGGGCATATAATTCTTTTTTCTGTAAACTGACTTATTCTGAAGCCAGACATTCGGGGGAAAATAATTTGAATCAGTTGTATCAAAACATGTGAATGAAAATGAAAGATAAATCTTCGTTACCAATTAAGGTACCCTCTAGACACACTCCATCTCCACATCTTTCCCAAAACCCAAGGTTGGTACCAGAGAATGGGACAGGTGTAGAATTAAGTGAAATACATAAATAAGGTGAGAATGTCTCTTTTGCATATTGTATAGTAATGTTAAGAACTTAAGGTGTTACAGGGTTTTTTAAGCCCTATCAAAAGGTCTTTCTTGAAAATGCCTCATCAAACTGAATTGATCCAAGAGGTCACACTGGAAGGGCACGTACCCACACATTCTAAGTGCCTGGGACGACAGTGAGGAAAGAAAGAAAGAAAAAGTCTTGAATGTGCCACTGAAGACAGAAAATTCTTAAATTGAAATGGGAGAAATGGTGGTAACTGAAATATTTTAGATCTTCACAGCCCTGAATAATTCAGATAAGAAATCTCAGTGACACTTTTCTATACCTATGTTGAGCTCAACCTGAGACTACTCTACACTCTTCTAAAGATGCCAGGCAAGGAATTCAAGAGGAGAACAGCAACAGTTAACAGAGTTTTTTTTTTTTTTTTTTTTTTTTTTGCCTTTTCCAATGCTTTTAATTCTTAAATGAGTCATTTATTTAACTGATAATTCTATCAGATACAGCTGTACAGGAAAATGTAACTGGGAAACCAAAGTGATACCAATTGTTTTTAGAGAAGAGTGGTGTTTTCTGTTCATTTCTGAACCTCAGCCAGGAGAGTCACTGGCTGGTATGTTCAGAGGGCCTCTCTGGCCCTTGGATTTTGCTTTTGGTACATTTGTTAGTTTTTAAACTGGGAGCTTTCTAATTCTGAATTTTAGCTGTGTATTTTAATAAAAAGTGAAAGCTCAAAGAGCCTTGGTTGTTTTCACACATTTAAGAGACCCCAGCTTCTCTCTCTCTCTCTCTCTCTCTCTCTCTCTCTCTCTCTCTCTCTCTCTCTCTCTCTCCCCCCCTCACTCTTATCCCAGTAGGTTAAAAAGTCACTTAGAAAAATAAATCTCTCTTTCCTCTTTCAATCATGTGATGGAGAAACTATTAAAAGGCATGATTTTAAGGCTGTTTTTGAAAATTAGTGGCTCTTAAAGACCACTCAAATTATACCAAAGTAAATTCTAACCAAAAGCCTTCTTTGTTTACTCCATTAACAGGGGAATACCATTATTAACAAAAACAGCAGTTGATGCTTACTGCTAAGATGAGCCTTTTATAACTATCGTTGCTTTTATAACTGTCAAACTTTCATATCCATCATTTGATAACTTTTATATCAATCATTGCTTTTATAACTATCAAATCAGGGAGGTTTGATAAAACTTTGGGTTATTTGGGGTTGGGGGATTTTTTGAGCTGTTGATGACTTTGAGTGTTATGATCTATCATGCATGAGCAGCCTCATACAGAATGCATTGGATGCTAATGCATTTCTGACAATTCAGGTACTCTCCAACCTCACACCTAATGCTGCCAACCTCACATCTAATGCTGCTATCAAAAGGTGCCAACAGCTCCATACCGGAAGAGCAATATGGGTTCTTCTCACTGGGAGATGTATTCACACTGCTATTTCCTGGGGAAAGACCAAGTATCTCACTTGCAGAAGATGACTTGCAGAATCTAACCTGCTAATTCACTTACCAGAAAGCATAACTTGGTAATAAAAATCAGCACAGGTTCCAGTTCTCCAAGTCTAAAAAAGGATGCAGAAAAAGAATCTCAATCTAATAAAAACACTGCCTTACTCTTGTTTCTTTCAGGCTAGATTTTAGTGATCATATATCTTTGAGAGAAAAAAAAAAACCTTAGTGGAAAATACAATCGATTCTGCTTTCTCCCGGATGGTGCTGTGTAAGACATTGGGCAGAACCCTGGCAGAGCCAACACCTGCTTGGTGGAGAAGAGACTGTTCTGGGTCCCAGAAGCCACATGGACTTGAGATACTATAGCTTTCTAAGACCACTGAAAGGCATTAGAGAAAGCCTGAGAGGCAGATTCAGCATCAAGAAGCCTGAACTCAAAAGCCAGATCATGTATTATCTGAACCAAGAAATTCATGTGAATAAAAAGGAGGTACTACCAACAATTACACTGAAACAACAGAGGACCATTTTGAACAAACCACAATGTATGAGTGCCTTACTTCTAAGCCACACAGACCATGGGCAACTGGCTTAACCTCGTAAGGCCTCTATATTCTCATCAATAAAATCATATTGGAAGAAGTCCAACACCTCACCTATTTGGGGTTGCAACAGCAACCAAATGGGGTAATGAAAATGTCAGGTCGGGAACTATACAAATTTAAGGCACTGCATACATGGATTAATTTGGAAATATGTCACTCAACAGCAGGATCTAGTCAATCCTGGAACAGTTTGCAGGTCTCCCACGTTCCCCCCGCAGAACAACCCCAGAGCCCTCTAGAACCTGGCAGCTCTCTGTGGCCAAGGTTTCTGAGCCAACACTCCTCAGCAAGCCGTGTGATTCTCTGGTCTAAGAACACATTTCGCAGTCCAAGTTCCACAAAGTGGTTACATACCACTCTCAGAGGGAAAATGCTTTCTTTGTCATCATATGACTATGAACACTTGGACAACCAAAGCTGAGGACTCTGTGGTCCTTCAGGCCATGCTGAGACCTGGCAGATGAATGTCAAAGCAGACGTGTTTCTTAAAAACTTATTTCAAAAGTACTTCCTCTCTCCAGTGCTTTGTCTGCCTCTAGATACCCATAAAGACCTATAAAATCCTGAGCATACCAGCATAGCACACTAGGGTAGATATAAAAATAGATCATGTAGATATTCTAATATGATATATGATATAACATATATATATCATATGATAGATATATGATATAACATATATATTATATGATTGATATATGATATAACATATATATACATCATATGATAGATATATGATAATATATGGCTTACACACACACACACACACACACACACACACACACTACATCAAAGAACTTTATCCCCAAAATCAACCAAACAAATAGGTTGGTAAGAAACAGACAGTACCGTGGGAAAGAGCTGCATCAGGTTTTTGCATACCTGAAGAGCTAAGCCACATGAGGAGACGGGTGTGTCTGCCATGGTGTCATGTCTGTCTTCAGGACTAAGATACTCATTGCCCCAGCTGTTGGGAGCATTAGCTACAAGGCTCTCAGCAGAGACCCTCTCTGGGGGCTACCACTGAACCCAGGGAAGCTTCCTTGCCAGGTCTGTGCCCACACTGCAGGGGCGGTACACAGCCGATGGCTTAGCACACAGGGTTGGATGAAGGCCCTGTCTCCTTGCCTCAAGCCAGGACAACTCTGCAGGGCTGTCCCAGCCCCAGAGCTCTCTGTGGGACCGGGACAAGATGCAGTCTTCTTGGTGACTACATTGTGGTTCTCTGTCCTGTCCTCCTTCCCTCTTCTTCTACAGGTTTTGATCCCAGGGATACTCCTCAGCATACTCCTTTGCTCCATTCCAGAGTCTGTTTCCCAGTTGGGTTCAACTTGAGACAATGCACTGTTCCTCTTTTTGGGTCTCGGAGGAAAAAAAAGTACTAATAAAGAAAAGGATTGCGAGGCACGGTGGCTCACACCTGTAATACACTTTGGAGGCCAAGGAAGGCAGATCACTTGAGGTCGGAGTTCAAGACCAGCCTGACCAATATGGTGAAACCCTGTCTTTTAAAAAAAGGAAAAAAAAAAAAAGAATAAAAAGAAAATGTGTTAAAGATGCCTTCCAAGGCCGGGTGCAGTGGCTCACACCTATAATCCCAGCACTGTGGGAGGCCAAGTCAGGCAGATCACTTGAGGTCAGGAGTTCAGGATCAGCCTGGGAAACATGATGAAACCCCATCTCTACTAAAAATACAAAAATTAGCCGGGCATGGTGGCAGGCATCTGTAATCCCAGGTACTTGGGAGGCTGAGGCGGGAGAATCGCTTAACCCGAGAGGTAGAGGTTGCAGTGAACTGAGATCACGACACTGCACTTCAGCCTGGGCAACAACAACAACAAAAGGTGTCTCCGGAGATGAGCAAGGCAGAGTGTTCTCTTAGGGTGAGCTGGCAAGAGAGACACTCCACAGCCAACTTCCAGCCAGGCAAAACCCAAAGAGGACACAGCCACAACCGACCCATAGGATGAGGGCTTTATGTAACAAGCATGGAATCATTTAACTGTTATTTTAATAAAAATGTTTTTAAAAACTTTTTATATGTATAAAGCCATATTTTAATAACTACCTATTTTTTTAAATTTCTGACATGCCATTAGTCATCTCTGGGGAAAATCTAACCAGTTATTATTATCTAACTACCCACGTGGGGAACCCTATCTGAACTGCAGATGGTTCCATGGAGGAAAGGCCCATTTATGAAGCTCTGGCAGGAACACCAGAAAAATCCCATTGTATTTTGGTGATGCAAACGTTAGAGGAATAGTTATGTATATTCCTGGAACCTAATTCCTAATGCATTTCTATACTGAAGAGTTTGCTCCTAGCTCAAGTCTTTGGCTGAGTGCTGCTGAAAAGGGAAATCCCTCTCATATTTGACCTTTAGTCTTTCTGCACAGATCTGGACAAAGAATCTTGGTGGAGAGTTTTCCTAAGGCTTCTGATTGGACAAAATTTCACTGTCTGACAATAGGAATTCTCTAAAGCTGATCAGTCACAAAGGTAGCCCTCCGGACAAGTCAAAAAATACCCTTCAAGATATAGTTTCTTATCATCTACAAAGGCCTGTGAGCTCAAGGGCAGAAAGACACTATAGAATAATAGATACCACATTCCCTTTTGAAATTACTATATGCACATAAATCTTTCCTTTTAAATTATGAACCAAAGTACATTAGTAGTGAAATTGAAACTAGGTGAATGAAATTCACAGAACCAGAAATTATTACTTAGGATTTGCTACACAGGATCCTGGTCTATCTTGAAGGCCTAAAAAGAATATGAACAAGAGTTAAACAGGTGAGGCATTAGCATGGACCCCTGGGATCTTGTCTCTGCAGATATAAAACCCTCCTTTATATTCCCAGGCAGGTGCCATATAATTCGACAACGAAACTGCAAAAGCACATGCATTTGAAAGGTGACTGCTGGCCCCTCTCTCTAGCTGTCCAGGGCGACTCAGGATTCTGAGCCTCCAAGAGTGGTATAGGCATTGAACTCATTTACTCCTGTGGAATCTATACCTCCAAGAGTGGTATAGGCATTGAACTCATTTACTCCTGTGGAATCTATACCTCCAAGAGTGGTATAGGCATTGAACTCATTTACTCCTGTGGAATGTATACCTCCAAGAGTGGTATAGGCATTGAACTCATTTACTCCTGTGGAATCTATACCTCCAAGAGTGGTATAGGCATTGAACTCATTTACTCCTGTGGAATCTATACCTCCAAGAGTGGTATAGGCATTGAACTCATTTACTCCTGTGGAATCTATACCTCCAAGAGTGGTATAGGCATTGAACTCATTTACTCCTGTGGAATGTATACCTCCAAGAGTGGTATAGGCATTGAACTCATTTACTCCTGTGGAATGTATACCTCCAAGAGTGGTATAGGCATTGAACTCATTTACTCCTGTGGAATCTATACCTCCAAGAGTGGTATAGGCATTGAACTCATTTACTCCTGTGGAATGTATACCTCCAAGAGTGGTATAGGCATTGAACTCATTTACTCCTGTGGAATGTATACCTCCAAGAGCGGTATAGGCATTGAACTCATTTACTCCTGTGGAATCTATACCTCCAAGAGTGGTATAGGCATTGAACTCATTTACTCCTGTGGAATGTATACCTCCAAGAGTGGTATAGGCATTGAACTCATTTACTCCTGTGGAATCTATACCTCCAAGAGTGGTATAGGCATTGAACTCATTTACTCCTGTGGAATGTATACCTCCAAGAGTGGTATAGGCATTGAACTCATTTACTCCTGTGGAATCTATACCTCCAAGAGTGGTATAGGCATTGAACTCATTTACTCCTGTGGAATCTATACCTCCAAGAGTGGTATAGGCATTGAACTCATTTACTCCTGTGGAATGTATACCTCCAAGAGTGGTATAGGCATTGAACTCATTTACTCCTGTGGAATGTATACCTCCAAGAGTGGTATAGGCATTGAACTCATTTACTCCTGTGGAATGTATGCCTCCAAGAGTGGTATAGGCATTGAACTCATTTACTCCTGTGGAATCTATACCTCCAAGAGTGGTATAGGCATTGAACTCATTTACTCCTGTGGAATCTATACCTCCAAGAGTGGTATAGGCATTGAACTCATTTACTCCTGTGGAATGTATACCTCCAAGAGTGGTATAGGCATTGAACTCATTTACTCCTGTGGAATGTATACCTCCAAGAGTGGTATAGGCATTGAACTCATTTACTCCTGTGGAATGTATACCTCCAAGAGTGGTATAGGCATTGAACTCATTTGCTCCTGTAGCATTTAATCTTCATATTCTCTTAGTGGCATAAATACAAACTCGTCTTTAAGGAATCAAAATAGAGGCCTCTCACCTGCATGGAATAGCAAATGCCCAAATCCCAAGATCTAATGTACCTAATGGGATCTATAATTCAGAGGTATGTTCAGGAACAGCTCTTGGAAACCATGTGCAAGAGAAACCTGAAATTCCAGAAATGAAAAAATCAAAGTGGTCCCTTGCGGCAAGCTCCATGTGTGGCCTCTCTCTATATAACCATGCTGCTTCCCAAATTTCCCCACATTGCGAATGGAGATCTTGAGTCACAAGCTGTCAGAAAGACTGCTGAAGTGAGGGTAGCCTTTTGAGAAACAGATTCAGTGACATACCCAGAAGCTCCTGAGTGGTCCCAGTCCATGTACTGAAGCATAGCTCCCCGCAATTCCAAGCCCTTGTGACATCCTAAGCAGCATTCTGTTGTCAGAACTCAGGTGGATTCCTGCAATGCATATCAAAAATTTGAAGGCTATGGTTAGGTTCCACCTGGTCTGAGAAGCCAATAAAAACAGGGAGAACACTCTCTATAGAGAGGTCCCTGCAACAGGAATCAGGAGCACCACTCAGCTCTATCATGCGACAGTAAGACAATCTCCAGAATCCCAACCAGCAGAAATTGAAACTTTAATTTTTTTTTTTTTTTTGAGACGGAGTTTCACTCTTGTTACCCAGGCTGGGGTGCAATGGCGCGATCTCGGCTCACCGCAACCTCCGCCTCCTGGGGTCAGGCAATTCTCCTGCCTCAGCCTCCCGAGTAGCTGGGATTACAGGCGCGCGCCACAACGCCCAGCTAATTTTTTGTATATTTAGTAGAGACGGGGTTTCACCATGTTGACCAGGATGGTCTCGATTTCTTGACCTCGTGATCCACCCGCCTCGGCCTCCCAAAGTGCTGGGATTACAGGCTTGAGCCACCGCGCCCGGCCGGAACTTTAATTTTTATTGTCCTTTAGTTATATTAAAATCTTTTATTTCTGTAAAATTTTGAATTTTTCAGAGTATTTCCATTTATGATTTACTTTCACTATAAGACAAAAAACACCAGAAGGACAACATGAAAATACACATAAGTCAAAATACCTGTATGTGTGTGCTGCTGAGAAAGGACTGCTGGCGACCCCAGATGCTCACAGACACAGTACCCACCCGGACCGCAGCGCCTGACCACAGCATCACCTACAGGACTAAGACTGCTTCATCTCTCAGCAAGGCACAGGCACAGCCAGTTCATTTTCAGTTGCATTTTCAGCAATGTGGGGCCAGAGCTTACTCCTATTTTTGACGGATTCTGGCTTCAAGTCCCTAAGGTTTTGTTGAATATCTCTTTTTTTCCTGTTTGACTTCCACTTGAACCCCAGTCTCAAATATAACCTGGAAATAGGGAGAGTAGAGGGAGTTGTGAGCCAGAAATTTCAGAAGAATGATGTGATTTTCTTGCCCACTCTCCTGGCATTCAGCTGACTCCAGCAGCATCCTGCTGCAAACAGAACTAATTTTTTTATTCACTTGACAGCCAGGCACCATTTTACAAACCCCAGAAAGGAAATGCCAAAGAATCGCTTACAACTGCTGTTCATTTAAATCAGAGTTTCTCAAGCCATTGTGCCACATAGCCATCATGGTGGCTTGCAGAAGACTGGCTATGACTTGGTAATGCAACCAGTGCTACTCTTGTTGAAGAGGTAAAGTAAAAAAAAAAAAAAAAAACTGCTGCCACCAAAGAAAATGAAGCCGAAGGAGGAGTGATTTGAGAAGCAGGAAAGCTCTTCTGTGGGGAGTGGTCTTTGTACAATACTATTGGGCTCAGCAGCGGGATTTTTCAGCCACACTGTTAGCATTTGCATTACCACTCTGTTCTATACTCCCGAGAATGGCTGCTTTTGCAATCTCTGGTCAACATAAATTATGTGGCTCGCAAATAATTTCTAACCTAGCTTTTATTTTATCCTATGACTTAAGAGTGAAGGCGATAGCTTGGTCCCAATCCACTCACAATTTTAGCTTTGCAAAAAGAGAAAGAGAGCGAGGGAAAAAAGAAATTAGAACAATGGGAAAGAGTTTCTCTATGAGTTGTAAATTTACTACACCAGGCAGGAGCTCTGCTCCCCACAGCTCTGATTCACATCACAGAAGCCTTGGTGGGTAATGATGGGGTGTGGGAAGAAGCTTCATCCTAAGTCATAATCCTGTCATCACTAACGGAGTCAACAAGGAACGTTTACACTCCTTGGGGAACCTGAGCATGACACTTCAGAACCAAGGAAAATCTGAAGCTTTTCTGTCTTTGTTTCTCTTTCATAAATCAGGAGGAAATGATAGCTTTCTGAAGCTGATAGGGATCCATCTATAAGGCTCACTCAATCCGTTGAGTGCAGCGAAGCTCTGGATGCTGCAGGGACCACCACTGTTTCAGAACCGCCTAAAATTTATGTCTGGAAATTAGAGGTGTAATAAGAAAAATGCCAGCAGGAGGTAACTGTGTGCTGTAATCATGGAAGCTCAAGTGCCACTCAGTCGTGTTGCACACACCAAATATTTCTATCCTATCATGTACCAGGGTGATGGAAGGCCAGCAGATACCTCAACTGGTCAAGGAATGAAACTCCAGGAGCCACAGGAGAAAAATGCTAAAGAAGAAAGGTTACAAACAAGCAAGAATCAGTTGCTTCCACCATTTTTGTTCTCATGCATAAATAAGGTGAGTGATTTGAACATGAGTAAGAATAACAGGAATGGTCCACGATGTGCCTGGTTCAGGCATGAAAAGAACAGCTGGCAAGAGTGCCAGTGAGGAGGAGGAGCGTGTTGGCATCTTTCCTTCAAGGATTCCAGCAAGTTTTCATGAGGTAGTTCATCTCAAATTACTCAGTGGCAAAAATGAAGATTGGCGCAGCAGCAGGTGAGCCCACCAAAGGAAAGACAAGAAGGTGCCAGATGGGGCTCTTGTCTGGACAGGTAGGTCACGTGCAGCCATGTGCTGCAAGGTGCTGCCAAGGTGACAGCAGACTGTGCCTGGATACAGTAAATCCAAGTATCCTTCTGGAAGAGAGCACTTGCCTGAGGGAAACATCTGTTCCCGATCACTCATGGGCTTAATTGTGAGGCTCTTATCACCCAGAAGTGTTTGTCTACACACCACATGCCTTTCCTTCTGTCCAACAGCAGTGGATACCCACCCAATTCAGAGCAACCAGAAAAGCTGATTAGTTAATTGACTCATAGCCTGATACTTTCAACCAGCTGGTTAACTTCCTTTATAAGGAGGGCAAACACGGAAAGATGGACTTTGGAATTTGAAAGCATTGCCATGAATTCTATTTTAAAAGGACAATATGAATCAGCCAGGAGTTTGGGGGGGTGGGGGGAATAAGCCTATTGTCTTTTTCCTGTTCCCTACTAGTAGTTTTCTCCCTAGACGAATCTTCAAGTCTTCACTATAGAATGTGCAATTGATAGGTACATCCATTTAGTCATTCCAATAATATCCACGTGTTTTACCAAACAGCAAGCTGAGGTGGATTTAAACTGTAAGCCATTCTTCTCTTGCAGCTCGCTCTCTCCTAGGTATGCTGCACCCACCTCTGTGATATACTGGGCACCAGGCATTTAAAATGAGGGCATATAATTCCTGCCCTCACTAGGCTCACATTCTCACCTGAGACACACAAAGGAAGCAGCACAACCTTCTCTTTTCTTTAGCTTTTCTGCTATCCCTTCAAATCAGCAGGAAGCCCTTGCCCCAGAGATGCACAGCAAATCACTAGTGACCAAGCAGAGAGAAAGGCTCACAAATCCTGCCACCTGTTGTTTTTGCTGTTTAAACCCAGGTAAACCTTTGTCCTGCCCTTTAACAGTGGACTCTGCAGCCTACAAAAGGTGCACCACATTTCAAATATCTACCTGGACATTCTGGGCTTAACCTAACATAAGAAAATGAAATCATTCACTAAATCCATTTACTTGCCTATGAAAGAATTGGATAGCCATGTCTTTCTAGGGTAGTATCTTAGTGAGATTAATTGAATCAAATTAATCCCAGGGAACACTAAGAAAATTTCCATGAAAAAGAGTGTAACTCCACCATAGCAGATGATGTTTTATATGCCTACCTTCTCTACGGTTTCCACAGCATGAATATAATTTCATTGATATGGGTACTTTGGGGGTTTTTAGCCTAATTTTCATGTTACTATATTCTGCATTTAAGCTCCTTTTTAGATAAAACCCTTGCTATGGAGGATAAGAAGTTTTGTAGGGATACAAAAATCTTTCACTAAGAACATCTGCTCCTCAAGAGGGCTTCTTCAATCCTGGAAATTATTCCATGGACAATTACAAGTATGTCTGAGTTTGGAGAACTGAGTTGTTTCTGCATTTAAATGAAGGCCAACTTCTGAACAGGTCAGGTCAAAGAGAAGTGGCCTTTGTGGGCTTCCAGGCAATGAATTTGTATTAACCTTTCCTTTATTAAAAACAACAACAAAATGATTCACTGTATTTTTATATGTGATAAAATAATGGTCAGATGTTCATTCTTTTAAATCTCCATATTGCATTTAGGTGACTTATTTCCTTAGAGTAACTCTTGAAGGATTACATCATAAGGACTCTGGATTTCTTTTAAGTTGTATAAAGTTTTAGGCAAGTAATTATGGTAGGATTGAGCCCACTTCCTAATCAGGTTTTTAAAATGTCACTTTACTTTTCCTCTTCCTCAGTTTAAGATTCACTGGGTAGTTACAACAAGGAAGGAACTATCTTAAGAACCAAATTTCTTAAGGCTGAAAATAGGCAATAAGCCAGAGACAGTCCTCATTCCCGCAGAGTTTCCTGTTCATTCTGTTTCCCTTTTCTCTGTGTCTCTCAGACTCTTTTCTTCTTTCTTTCCCTCAGTTTCTACTCTGATCACAAATGCAGTTCACAATCAAGAAATCCGATGGTAATACTTTTGTTATATATAAAACTGAATTCATCATGCCCACCTTCCCTCAGTCTGCTCATTTTCTCCTAGGCCTCAACACAATTAATAACATTGCCTTTGCTCTCTTCTCATTGATCCAAACCAAAAAGTGGTCACTCTCAACTCCCCTTATCTCTTCCATCTCTTAGAATGAAATGGTCACTAAAATCCATTGCAACCTTCAGAGGACCTTCTTAATCTACCCCTTTTGTCCATTTCACTGTCATTGCCTTAGTTTTTGTTTCATTGTTTCTCACTTGGACCTTTGTAGTAGGCAAATGGAATTGACAGTAGCTGTCCCTTTACTCAGAGCCATCTTCTTGTATCACGTAAGAGATCTTTCTAAAATGGGAAACTCACCCTCTCTGGCTTAAAATGTTTTCAGTGGTTCTCTACTTCCTGCAGTTGAAATTCAAATTCTTCTGTACAGTATATATGCACGGCCCTTTTGTGATCTGTGCTCTGCCAGATCTTTCTTCTTGTGCGTCCATATTATTGAGCCATACTTAATCCTTCCACAAGCACCACAGTCTCATGGTTTCACTTCTTTATTCTTTACTCATGTTCTCCACTGGTCTGTAATGCTCATATGTCCCTTTTCTGCATGGAAATTTCTTATCAAGGCATAGCTCAATATTACCTTACCCCAAAAACCTTTCATTATTCCTGTTCTTATTGCCTGTTCCTCACTTCGACCACAGCACCTAATTATAACAAACCATTTCCCTCATACACTTAAACTAATGCCGTGTCTCTCACACCAGATTGTGAGTTATGTGAAGGTAAGGTACCTTTGTATTTTCTTTGTATTCCTGGCATACAGAACCACACAACATGTATAATATGCTCTCATTAAACAACGGGTAAGTGAATGCTGATCATCTTCTTTGTGGTTCTACAGCATTCAGCACAGTTGGCTGTCAGTCCTTCCAGAATTCTCAAAGTATTTGCTTTCCAAAGCATTGCTCTATTCTTATTTCTCTATATCTCTCTAGACCATCTTTTATCCAGATCATGAGGAGCCAAAAGTCTAAAAAGATTTACAGACCGTAATAACCATGAAAACAAATAATATCTTGTTTTTATCAGAACATAAACATCAATATGGGACTAGGAGCATCTAAACAGAAATTAAAGTTAGGCTACTTGTATTTTCTATTTATATCTAGGAAGTCATTAAGGCAATGAATGTGATTGCACAACTCTTAGAATGATAATTCCATTCTAAAATGTGAATCCCACTGCCTTGGCCTCTCCTCACTAATAAGGTATGTGGAGTCCAGAGTCCAAATGGGAGGCAAATGCTTAATTCAGTGGGGATAACACTTGCTGCCCTTTGGAGACAGTCTTTTGGGAAGGCAGAAAAGGAAATTCTCCTTCTCCTAGAAGGACAGGCTTGCTGCCTCAGCGA